AATCACAGGATTCGAACCCGGAACCTTGTGCGCGAAAGCCCAACCTCTGGACGGACCGCTAGGCAGGCATCCAACGATGTTAATGTCTAACTCTGATCAATATAGGGATTTTGCGAAAACTCACCCATTTGTTTTCTGTAGTTGCCGACACTACCTATCAGGTTTAAGTCCACTGGTCACGTCTTCTCACTTGATAATTTATTTTTCAAATAGAACAATAGGTTAAGTATATAATGTACTTGATCATTTTCTTTTGTTGGCATATGTGAATTGCTTCGGTATTACAATTAAGTTACAAGCATTCTAAGCAGAATTGGATAGCGGATAGCAGTGGAATACATGAGGCGTGCTTCGCCCTATTTCAGACGATTCAGAGGACTGAAACAAATGATTCATATCGTTGCACAAACCACAGGGTTTTGTGGATAGAGTAGTTAAGTGGATAAGGCTCTGGCGCGCGCTACTTATAAGTGGTATATGACGTGAGTTTAAACGTAATGTCTGGCAACAGAAGATGAGGGGAGATCAAGAAAGGAAGAAGAGTGGGAACACAATCGAATTTGTATGAAACGCATGAATAGTGAAATGTCAGACAATGGATTGATATTTTGCAAATTAACGGTTACGATATGGTTTTCCTATTTTACCAGTCAACTCTGTAATTTGCGATAAATACAATTCGGTTGCGCTCACCTGTGTTCTCCTTCACTACAAGGATATATATATATATATATATATATATATATATATATAGAGAGAGAGAGAGAGAGAGAGTATCTAAATATGTCAATCAACACTGATCAAAAACAATCGTAAACTATACTGAGAAGATTCAAACGACCAATACGAATAAATCAAAATTTCGGAAATAAGTAAAAATATTTTAGTTTTGTATGTAGTTGAACATAAAAACCACTGATCGTTAGAGACCTCGCACGACATGGCTGAAAATCATTTACAATGGTGCAAGTGCATCCACACTTCGTGTTCTCAGAATTCTTCATCACCTCTTTGTCTTTGTAAATTTATCTCACTGAACTATATATACTTCTTGAATAATGTCTTCAATCACTAATATTCTCGATTACCGATAATTCTCCTAGTATCTCCACCACTATGGGATTTGAACAGACAGTTGTATCTCTTTGCTAATAGGGTATGCCAACCTGAACATATGTACTCATGTACGAAGTTCTGCATTGTAACTGGCTGACTGACAAAACCTATTGACAAGAACTTAATCAATAACTCTAAAAATTATTCAATATTGATACCTTAAATTGAAGATTGTGGTGCGAGCTACTTATAAGTAGTATATGACGTGAGCGTCAACGTAATGTCTGGCAGCAGAAGATCAAGAAAGGAAGAGTTAGAAGAACACAATGGAATTTGTATGAAACGCATCATGAATAGTGAAAATGGATTGATGTTTTGCAACAGGAACAGTCCAGTTCGATATGATGATGAACTGATATTTCGCAAATTAACGATTTACGATATGGTTTTCCAATTTTACTGAGTAACTCTGTTAAAAACAATCCGGTTGCCCCACCTGTGTTCTCCTTCACTACAAGATGACCTTGTTAGTTTTTTCAAAGCTGAGTCTGAAAACCGACGTACAATCTTCCCAAGGGAAGTAATGTGTTATGCGTTCGGCCAGTAAAACAAGACAGGCAAGCATCAAGAGTATACACTACTATTCTATATTTTGTGTTAACGAACAATAATTCTGATTAGTTGTCTGGTCGGTCAAACACATAATCTAGTTCTAGTGAATTGCTCGTGTCTCAGGAAACGGACAAACTATTTAATTATTGCTTCATTAGTCTTCATAAGTTTAAATGCCTGACAGTATCATGAACTGCATAGACGCAGTCACTGTCATCATCAACACTCCAATATGAAATCTGACAAAAATCTAAACATTAAAAACACACAACACACAATAAATAGAAGCAATTCACAAACCGATTGTGACTGTGTTCATTCAGACTGAAGTTATCTAAAAGGATTCTTTCTTTATTCTTGAGTTTCATTGCAATATTTCTATTATCATTATTACACATAATATGTTCATCACTGAGTCAGCCAGTTGCAACGTAGAACTTCGTACATATGTACATAAGTTCATGTTGCTGCCATAACACATTAGCACGGAGACGCAAATGTCAAATCAAATCCCATAGTGATAAAGATAGTAGAGGAGGTATTAATGGTAATGAAGAAGACTAGGGTTTGAACATATTATTCAAGAAGTATAATTCAGTGAGATAAGGTTAGAAAGACAAAGGTAAAGGTGCTGACGAATCCAGAAGATATGGATTTGAGAGAGCACAACGAATGGATGCACTTGCGACATTGCAAACGATTTTGAGCTATGTCGTTCAAGGTCTCAAACCACTGGTGACTTTCGTCTCGCGGACCCCAACCAGGTAGTCTACATCTATCAACATGACTCAGTCCACTTGTCAGTGACTTCATGGATTTGTGCCATGTTTTGGTTTGCCGCCCCTAGCTTTCTTCCAACCTACTCCTACACCACAAAACATAGCTCGACGAGGCAGTCCGTGGTTAGCCATATGTAACACATGTCCCAACCAACTCAACTGATGACACCACTTCAGCAATTGATCTGCCATTCTTACCTAGCACCCGATTCCTAATAACAGCGTTGCTCATTCGGGTGTCCCACGATATACGGGCAATGCTTCGAAGACACCTATGATCGAAAACCAGTAACCTACGAACATCTACTCTTAACGGCCATGTTTCACAGCCATATAGGAGAACGGAGAGAACTGCTGCACAGTACACTCATCCTTTGGTCAGCAAACGGATATCTCGCCTACGCCATAAGTGACGCAGGTTGGCAAAAGCCAATCGATCCTTCTGTATCCGTACTGAGATTTCGTCAGTCACCAGGCCATCAGCGCTGATGAGACTCCCCAGATAAGTGAAGTGATCAACACGCTCGACTACTTCACTCCCTATCACTAGTTCAGGTGACGATGCAACCCCGTCTTGAAGCAACATTTTGCATTTCCGCATCCCGAACATGCTCGCATTGTTGCTTATGGTAGTCAGAAGACTCTGCATTTTGTCAGTCTTCACCGAATAAAAAGAACTATGTCATCGGCATATTCTAGGCCAGTAAGCGAGTTTCCTGGTAGAAGGTCAACCCCTGACGAGCTTAATGTTAACTCTAAGAGGATGTCTACGACAAAGTTAAACAAGAATGGAGAGAGTGGACATCACTGAGACTACTGATTGCATGTATACCTGTGCTAGATCTCGGACTACTGTAGCTGTTTACTTTCTTTTATTGATCATGTTTGTTTTATCGTCGTAATTAATGAATAGCTTGATCAAAATTAGATTGATTTGCTGGATGAGGTATTTTTATTATTACAAAGATATAATAATAGTAATAATAATAGTAATAATCAAAAAAAAAGCTGAACACACACACACAACACATTTTTGGCCAACAAATATAATGATGATATTTTCTCTACAATAAAACAGAATGAATGAATGAATGAGTTGTACAATTTTTTTCTTTAAAAAGCATAATAATTGTAAAGCAGTTCAATAAGCAAGCAACTGTATGTGTATGTGTGTGTGTGAGCGCGCGCGCACACACGCGCGCGCGCACGAAAAACTAACTGTGTTTAAAATGGATAGATAGATGGATAAATGTGATGAGTACGTTAAATGATCAATTATTTTTTTTTTCAGAAAAAAAAAATTAACTTGACGGAGGAGAGACACAGAGAGAGATAGAATAAATTATCGGTACTTTTTTTTCATACCTATTTTAAAAATGTAACAGTTTTTTTATTCAGTAGTTTGTTTTACTACATCACACACACATGATAGATAATGTAAAATTGAAAGAGAAAAAAACCGCGAAATTGTTTTTCTAACTAAATGAAGTTGATTTACAGATCAAAAAAGAAGAGAAAGGAATGAAGAGAGAGGATAGAGTAATAGAAATTCAATGTGATATGAAGAAACATGTTCGTCAACGTTTGATCATGATCAACTGTTAATGCTGATCGAGGTAGATATGTAGGCAAACAAAAAGTGAATGAAGCAACTGCACATACACACATAAAAGAAGCAGACAGACTGTTAGCTCTTCGATAAGACTCTTCAACCCGACAGACGCCTCTTTCATTAAAACACTCATTCTGTTGTTGTATAATGCGTGCACAGTTCAAAACGTACACGCACGTACACACACACGCATGAGAAAGTAAATCAGTTTCAGAAATATAAATAATATAGAGCAGATGTAGTAGAACCGAAAACAACACGAGTATATTGTTTTTCATTTTTTTTCCGCATGATCATTCACTCACTCACTATAAAAAAAAATCCTAATATTCGACGACGTTGTTAAATGCTAATAAAATGAGATACAGCAGAGTGATCATGTGTGAAATATATATATATATATTTTTTGGCTTTGTTTCTATTTTTAATTCGAAACCGATTATTAGGCACACACACACATACCCACACACACACACGCACACACAAAAAAGAGATCTAAAAAATGAGAAACAACTATACAAGTAAAACTACACATGCTTTACGCGGAGAATGTAATTCTCTATCTAATGTGTGTGTGGTGTATCTATCAATGCTATTAATGTTGAAGAATGATTAGTTTGTAGTAAGTAGTATAGTTTGTGGAGTAGTAGTAGTATTAGTAGTAGTTAGTTGTAGTAATCATGAAATGTGAATTAGTATGAAATTATGAACACAAGAGAATGTGAAATTGTATATGTTACACTATACACACACACACTACATGAATAAATATAGTAAGTAGTAAGTAATATGATGTTGTCACAAATGGAACCGACAATCATGTGAATGTGGAAACTTCATTGAATGATGATGAGAAGAAAGAGGAGAAGACTCGTATGGAACAAAATCTACACACACACACACACACACACACACACACAGAAAAGTTGATGAGGACACTAAGAGAAAGAGGAACAACATGAACTAATGTGTTTGTTCTCATAGCACGGAAGAATGTGACAGTAAGAAACATACACATACACACACACACCCACACAAAGTGTCAATGGCATTATTGTTGCAATGTTCAATAATTGTTCACAGACGATTGATTGTCGGTTGAACAATGGATACACGTGGCTAAAGAAGAGAAAGGAAGTAAATTTAACACAGATTATGATAGTTTATTATTGAAGAGAGCAGTAAATAGCAAAAAGGTTACCACCTTCACGAACTAACTAACGAACTAATTAAATTGAGTTACCCAAAATTGATGATAACATTTTAATGACTATTTGATTGATTGATTGAAATTGATTAAGCGTAATGTGAACATAAATCAATGATTTAGACGATGTGAACAAGCGAAATGATGATGATGATGATGATGATAATGAGTGTACATTTTTGTGTATTTGATATGCTAAACCAGAGCGAAGACAAATGATGCAGTGAAACTGTGGTGCGAGCTACTCATAAGTAGTATATGTCGTGAGTGTCAACGTAATGTCTGGCAGCAGAAGATGGGGGAAGATCAAGAAAGGAAGAGTTAGAAGAACACAATGGAATTTGTATGAAACACATGAATAGTGACAATGGATTGATGTTTTGCAACAGGAACAGTCCAGTTCGATATGATGAAACGATATTTTGGAAATTAACGATTTACCATATGGTTTTCCGATTTTACTGGGTAACTCTGTAATTTTTCGTTAAATACAATTCGGTTGCCCCACCTGTGTTCTCGTTCACTACAAAACGACAGGCTATTCTAATCCATTGTTCTCAGCCTAGCTAACTATATCAAGAAGCCTTGATAAAGCGTAGAAAAGTGTATTCAGCAAGCACCCAGAAAATATGTGAGGTCAACATGCACACAAATTGAGTTTATTTATTATACATGATAGAAATGTCCTTGGTGAGAGTCACAAAAATAGAGTACTAAAATAATCCATCAACTAATGTGATGACATTCAAGGATTTTCCTGGTGGGAAATGTAATCTCAAGGTCAGCTGAGCAGCTCTTTCCAAGCGAGTTCTGTGGAGATCTAACATCTCCAACAGTATTTGTTCTTTTTCTTTTACCAGTTATTGTAACTTTTTACTTAGCACATTAAATAACAGTAGAGTATTAGTCAACTAACCAGAGTAGCTGTGCACCCTGCTACATCCAGTCCACCTAACTTCAGCTCAATCCGATAGCCGATCTGAAATCAAACTGTTAGATTGGTTCAAACAGCTAACATTAACAGTGTCCCATCAAGCATATAAGAAGAAGTCAACCCGGTCAGAGGTACCCAAGACTGGTCCTCATCTCCGTTCCAGAAATATCCTCCACGACAGCAGCAAACAACGGTGCAGATCCAAATAAACCGTCGTGCGTCGCTTCAGATTCTTCAGAGGGGGGTGTTAGGATATTCATCCAATATCCTAAGAGAATTATTGGTCAATTTTATGGACGTCCTAGATATCAATGTCACGTGCTCCAATGTTGTTTCTTATTGGTTGTATTAGTTCAAGCATATCAAAATGACATGTTTACGTGCAGGCTTAACAGGAAGGTTACGAGCAACACTTTTTTTTCCATGGTACTCAGATGGTCAAATCCATTTTTTAGATGAAGAAAGGTAAAAAATGTTCGATGAAATTTGACTGTTTTAAAAAAGTTCACAAATCCTTGCTAATCTTTTGAACATTCTTCAAAATCCATAAAACAAAATGTTGAGAACATACTTCGATCAATCAGCATTCTCTAGAAGCTTTCAAGAAAGCTCTAAACAATGATGAATTAAGTTATTCTTATCTGAGTGGACAGTTACCACTTCAAAAGTTTCTAGAAACTTTGAAATACGTACTATATACTATATAATAAATAACTTTGATTATCTCACACATGATAATGGACCGAGAATATAAAGTTTCTGTTGTCTTATTTGTGATATTTCTAAAAATTAACAAGTTCGTGCTATAAGATGCATCGCGAAGCATGAAAACAATCGCTTTCAATCTCGAAGCATTGAGTATGTGAAAAAAGGCGCAAATCACTATGATGCATTACTACTCAATGTTCTCCAATCAGCGCTGGTCGATACTTAGAGAACATTCTAGAAGCTTTGTGGTGCGAGCTACTTATAAGTAGTATATGACGTGAGCGTCAACGTAATGTCTGGCAGCAGATGGCGGAAGATCAAAAAAGAAAGAGTGGGAACACAATGGAATTTGTATGAAACACATGAATAGTGACAATGGATTGATGTTTTGCAACAGGAACAGTCCAGTTCGATATGATGAAACGATATTTTGGAAATTAACGATTTACCATATGGTTTTCCTATTTTACTACTGAGTGACTCTGTAATTTTTCGTTAAATACAATTCGGTTGCCCTCACCTGTGTTCTCGTTCACTACAGCTTTTCATTTAGAAACTATAAAGATACTAAAGTTGTTCCTATTTCGCCTTCGCTTCGGCTTCTTACTTCTCATTCAGCCTTGCTATTTGGAATAGATAATCTCTTCCATGTTCAACCGTGTGCTGCTGATTTGGGGACTTGTCGAGTGAATTGGGGTCCGAGAATACTAAGCAATAGGAATAGCTGGGTTTTACCAAGAGAGAATTACAACATCAACCTATTTATCGATCGATTCATAGAATTCGTTTATTTTCAATTATATCAGATGAATAAGTTTTAGGATATTCACCAAATATCCTAAGAATACTATTTTTAGAAGTACAATCCTATTGGTCGATTTCTATTGGCCGAAATTATGATCGTTCTAGCCGTCAAGGTCAAATACTTCAATGTTGCCTCTTATTGGTCATCTGGACACTGTCAATGTCATTCAAATGTTCTTTTCTATTGGTCATCCTAAACTGTCAATGTCACAGACGTTGATGCTCTTTCATATTCGATCTTAATGTATAAATACGCACCATCTGAAAGACTCTATAGTTGCGTTTCTTCCTGCCTACCTCTGTTCTGTATTCGACCCAATATACAACTCCATCCCACGGTATTGCGTTCTGAGAATATCTAAGAGATTTGGAAATAGCATTTTGGGTCGTATTGGGATATTTGAATTGGACGCCGCTAGGACTGAATAGCTAGCTATACGTAGCAGCGTTTCAACAATAAGTCAATTATTTATTTATCTAATTAATAAAAGTACACAATAAGCAATCATACAAGTGTGACTCTCTAATTGTTAGGTTCATTTCTCTACTGTAAAATTATGAGCATAGATTAATATAAATAGATAAATATCATACTATATATATACATAGATATATAACAAATTGTATAATGATTTTAATTTACCCGAGAATATAATTTGACAATATCAGTGGTCTCTACATGATGGATGTGTTGAGAATTCTCTTCTTCATATATATTGGAGAAAGAAAATTCAACCGACAGTACTAAAAGATGTAATTTGTATATGTATGTGCATGTGTGTGTGGGTGTGTGTAAGTATGAATGAATACATTGAAGAAAACACAAGTCACCGGATATAGAAGATGATGTAAGCAGATATAAATTAGGCATTCTATAATGAAGAAATTAAATATAAAGATGAATGTGAACATTTGCAAAATGACTCTCTCTCTTCTCTACATTAAACTCTATTTTTTGATTCTCATAAACGTCTACTTAAGAATCGATAAGCCGCGACTAGACCAACTGCACCAACAGCTATAGTTGCTACACTAGTTAACGCATTTCGAAGTGAACGCAACGTTTCATCATCGGTAAAATTACCAGTGACTAGATCAATGAAACTATGATTATTATTGCTGTTGTTGTGTCCAATTAATGTTGACGTGATTGATTGATGATCAGTTGTATAACGTTGTGCTTCAAAATTAATAAGTCCCTCCTATGAATTGAATTCGGAAAAAAATTTTTAGAAAAAAATAAATCAGAAATGAATATAAATTAGATTGTTACTGATTAATTAATTAATTTATAGGTTTGTTTAATTTATCATTAGATTAATATCAGTTTAGGTGATAGGGTAAAACTTTTTCTACTCTAGTACTCATCTACAGTGCGCGCATTTACAACTACACCATGGAACGTGGTGTGGTGCGAGCTACTACTTATAAGTAGTATATGACGTGAGTGTCAACGTAATGTCTGGCAGCAGAAGATGGGGGAAGATCAAGAAAGGAAGAAGAGTGGGAACACAATGGAATTTTTGATGAAACGCATGAATAGTGACAATGGATTGATGTTTTGCAACAGGAACAGTCCAGTTCGATATGATGATGAACTGATATTTTGCAAATGAACGATTTACGATATCGTTTTCCGATTTTACTGAGTAACTCTGTAATTTTCGTTAAATACAATTCGGTTGCCCCACCTGTGTTCTCCTTCACTACAGTGGGATCTTTTACTAGTAGTCAAGTTGAACACTTAAAAAAAATTAGAACTAATGCGTGGGTATCATCCAATGGTTAAAATTCTAACTTCAAGTTGAATACAGCTTTTAATCGAGATATTGGCAAATGCAACGAATTCAAGATAGTCCTCAGGCGAAAGGTTCCAGGCTTTTTTTTTCATGATCTACTCAATGGAGAGGAAAACAACAGGAAGAACAAATGGAAAGGGAGCAAGAAAGTAATAACTTCAACATGTCATGAGGTTCTGGGTCATAAGAAGTGCCGTCAAAAAGAAATGGATCTCTATTCATACTGTGGATAAGATTCAAGAAAGAAGGAAAGAACAGGAAGACAGCAATCCATCATAGCTGAATAAGAGCAGAGAAAGTCAAGGCACAAGCTGAAAACACGGGAACAAACAAGCAATTGACGAGGATCAATAGAGCTAGATCTGGAAGTAAACATGAGACAATTATACGACACAACAAAGAAGCTCGCTAGAAACTATCATAAACCAGGACGACCAGTGAAAAGCGGAGAAGGCAAAGTAGACAGCCACATTGAAGAACAGCGAAATAGATGGATAGGGCATTTTAAGGGACTCTTCAATCAACCAGCTCCTCTGAACAAACCCAACATCGAGGCAGCATCTACGGACCTCCCAATCGATGTTGGCCCACCAACAAGTGAAGAGATCAGCATAGCCATCAGACAAATCAAGTGCGGCAAAGCAGAAGAACCAGACAAAATCTCAGCAGAGGCAATGAAAGCTAACGTGGCAGCAACTGTAAAAATATTTCACATTCACTTCAGCAAGATTTGGGATGAAGAACAAGTACTAACAGACTAGAAAGAAGGATATCTGGTCAAAATACCAAAGAAAGACGATCTCAGCAAGTGTGAAAACTACAGAGAACTATCAGGCAAAGTCTTCAACAGGGTGTTGTTAAACACAACGCAGGATATCTGAAACTCATAAAATCTGTTAGCCAACACCAAAGTCACGATTTTCAATACAAATATTCAAGACAGTTCTACTGTACGGAGCGGAAACATGGAGAACCGCGAAAGCCATCATCCAGACGATACACGTGTTTATTAACAGATGTCTACGCAAAATACTTCGGATCTGTTGTCCAGACACTTTCAGCAAAAACCTACTTTGGGAAAGAACAAACCAGATTTTAACGGAGGAATAAGTGGAAAGGACGCACTTTAGAGAAATCATACAAATGCATTACAAGATAAGCCGTCACCTGGACTCCTCAAGGACAACGGAAAAGAGGAAGACCACAAAACACATTACGCGGAGAAATGGAAACAGACATGAAAAGAATGAACAAAAAATGGATAGGACTGGAAAGGAAAGGAAGGTCCAGGAAAGAGTATGCTGAAGAATGGTGAAGCGATCAATCTTCCCGATTTTAAGCATACATGTGAATTGAAAAACGAAAAGGGGTAATTATAGAGATCATGTAAGGACTGATTAATAATTTGGCGAAAATGTCCTACAGTTAGTGTTTAATCTCTCTCTCTGTACTCGACAAATCAAAGAACATATTATGTGTATACTTGGATAAGTAAATATAATACACTTCACATGTGTTTATTATTACTGACAATCAATGTTATTCACATACAATTTTACTATTAAAAAGACAACAAAATAAAATTATCAATGAACTAGATAGATTGTTTTAAATATTACTCTACTAACCAAGTATTTGTTAGGATTGGTAACATACTATTATTGATTAATAATTCAAGGATTACAGTTGGTCAGTGTCGGCTCTGTTGTCCCATATGTTCTATATATCATAAGATTTCATTGTTAGCCACATATACGAGGTATGCTCTACATCGATGTAATCTGAACAGTAAGTATATATTAAAACTGATCGTATTTCACTCGTAAATATTAATGATCAGAGAATTCAAGGTTATTCTAATAAATAAGTTAGTGGCTATTTAAACTTGTTTGATGTGAAAGGTATTTATCAGTTTCCAATTACGGTGAGAGCCAGTCAGTCAACTACAACGTAGAACTTCGTACTTACGTACGTACGTACGTACGTACATAAGTTCAGGTTGCCATAACATATTAGCACACAGATGTAACTGTCAGTTCAAATCCCATAGTAGTAGAGGTAGCAGAAGTATTAGCAATAAACGGAGAGATCAGAATTCGAAGATATTAGCCAAGAAGTAGAACCTAGTGAAATAAACTTGAAAAGAGAAAGAGATAAAGGCGATGAGGAAATCAGACGATGAAAATTTTGAGAGACGAGAAAACATGGATGATGTATCTGTGCCATTGAAAACGATTTTGAGCTATATCACTCAAAGTTGAGATGGTGAAGAAAATTTTTAGCTCAGGTGCTTCACTTGTGCTGATGATGTTGTTTCAGAAGAACAATGAAAGCTCCACAACCAAAACAACCAGCTCAGACAACTAAACACCACCACAATCACTCAAAGTCTCTAACTATCGGTTACGATTGTCTCGCGGACTCCAACCAAGTAGTCTACATCTATTAGCATGGCTCAGTCCAAATGTCAATCGCCTAATGAACTGCTGTCATGTTTCGGTCTAGTCGCTCGCCTCTATCTTTCTTCCAGCCTAACCCTACGTCAAAAAAAGCACCAGTCACCGAGGTGGACATGAGTAACACATGTCCCAACCAACCGAAATCAGCGTAAACAACGACACTGAGATATGGCAGTCACATCAAGTAGGACGAAACATGTGTCACGGATTCGATTGCTAGCCAAATACATATTTTTATTCAAAAGGATAGCAAGTAGGGTTAGAGTTTTCAACAGTAGCCTGATGTGCCATATAATCTCCTTTTTTTTTAGTTCATCGACTGTAATAATTAATGAGGAAGGAAGAAAACAAACAAACAAGAGCTACTTTGTGTTTGTTTATCACACAGCACATTAAACCACGTGACAAGAAGTTTTTGTTACTCGTAAACATTGCAGCACTTTCATCATCGTTCTCTGTCTCCCTACATATCTCTCCCTCTCTCTCTGTGTGTATCTCTTATCTAGTTTTGTTTTGTTTTGTTTACTCGTTGTTGATGTTTCCTCTTTCTCTACCTACACTTCACTTCGTATTTCATCGTTCGAAATAACAAGTGTAAGTCATAATTAATGAAAATGGAAAAGCTTTATTATAAATCGTATTTTGTGTGCATACGACACATACCTACACATACATTTCAAGTACATTTCAAGTCATATTACCTAATTTTATGGACAAGATATAAGTATGCATATACATACAGTAGTGCAGCTATCATTGTATATGTATGACGTAATAAATTTTGTGTACAGAGTACGAAACCTACTGGAATCACGTGTCATTTGAAACACAAACAACCGAGAGAAAAAAAACAGATGAATAAATAAAAATGAAGGACAACTTCATTGATTAGACGACAACAACAATACTAACAAAGAATTCTGTGAATAATTAGGTAATCTCTCTCTCTCCAACCCTCCATCCTTGTTCGATTTTTCTCTCTCTATCTCTCGTCTCTTTGTCCCAGTCAATTTTATTCGCAACGTTTAAAAGAAAACTGAAAGAAATTTTTTGGTGTTGAACAAACATATTGACTGACTAGGGGGAAGTGTACTGGTGAGTGAGTGACAGTACAGAAATAGGTAGTTGAGAATTTTGGCAAACCTTAGAGGTATCAAGTCAGTCAGTCAGATGCAACGTAGAACTTCGTACGTAAGTACATCAGTTCATGTCGCCATACCACATCAGCACAGAGATGTAATTCTCAATTCAAATCCAATAGTAGAAGAGGTAGTAATAGTATTAGAAGTAATCGAAGAGGTAAGGATTAGAAGATATTATTCGAGAAGTATGATTCAGTGAGAAAAGTTTAGAAAGTCAAAACTAGGGGGGTTGAAGAATCTAGAAGATTAGGATTTGAGAGAACACTGCTTCCATTCAGATAAACGCAAATTACTCACAACACCGAAGGTAATTTAGCACTTATACACAAAGTTTCTGTCAATTACATAAAGGACATCAAGTTCACTTAACCATTTTTTGTTTTCAATGAAAAAATTCGTACTCAGGCCGTTTCTTGTAAAGGTCTCACAATGGTAAATCCAATCCAGTTAATGCTTTTTGGTTGCCACTCTGCTGTCTGGAAGGCTGATGATTCTAATGATACGGGGAATTAGTTGTTATTGATGACTGGATTCTTTTCCAATATGAGCTTCTCTTCACACTCTACTCCTCAACAAACAGCTCACTAACACCGGATACACGCGGAGTTCGCACAGACTTCGGTGTCCTCATCAACCACCTCTTAACTCCTGTCAAACCGGCATACCAGTACAGACCAAGGAATGACGTGTATAGATAGTCGCTATTGCATGAATTAGCATTTCAGTAATTTCCACATGAATAAGATAATTTATGAGATGGTGGAGAAGATTTGTAACTCAGGTGGATGATTGTGGTGGCGGTGTTTGGTTCTCTGATACAACTTATGGTTGTATCAGTTTACATGACAAAACATTTCTGATGGATATTGACTAAATCAGAGAGTCACTTAGTCAGTCACAACGTGGAAATTCGTACGTACATACATTAGTGTTCAAATTACCATAACATTTCAGTACAGACAGATCGAATTGTCCATTCAAATCCCATAGTAGTAGAGATAGTAGACGTGTTAGCAGTAATCGGAGAGATTAATGATCGAATATTTCATTCGAGAGGTATACCCCAGAAGAATAAGTTGAAAAAAGAGAAAAAACGGTCATGAAGAACTTAGAAGATTAGGATTTCAGGGAACACAAAGGAGTGGATGTACTTGCGCCATGTCATTCAACTTAAGAATTCTTTTCCCCTTTATCATCATCATCAAATGAATTTTAACACAACAGAGAATAATTAAGAAATGATGTTATGCAATTAAATTCCCGACCATAGCTGCTACCTTGACGTGGTGGTCGGGCTTGCCTATCGTGATCACCCAACCGAGCTATATTGGCTGGAACATATGTTCCTGCAGGTCCTACCATGCCAGGCTGGTCGATTGGAGAGCGATGAGACTAAAAGCAGCTACTCATGATCTGAGGGCGAAGTCGTACTGCTGACTGCAGAGGGGTGTCACAGCAGTAAAGTGTTTCCATCGGACAACCAGCATCTACAGCGATGCTACCTTCTCACAAGGAAGGAAGGGTTAGAAAAGGTCGACCCTAAAAATGTCACACCTCACCCTACCTCACGGATTTCCGTCTCCGTCGGTAAGGGTGCCCACTAAGGCCCTTTAAGAGCGGAGCTAACATTCAAAAAACTTCTCATAAAAAGGCTGTGAGTGACCGGCCTCAAGAAGTTATCCCTCGGACTCTGTGATCACGTTCCCAGGTCTCCAAGACCAACACTAATCTGTCTTCCTTTTCAGGTCCCTCAAGAAACAACCTTCCACGGTGTGGGCAGCCGGGAAGTGACAAAAGCCCTCATACCCGTAACAGCACGAGAGACCAAATTGCTCGAAATCAAATCCTGCCTACACCCCCTAATACCTCTCTTCTCTCCACGACTAACTCTTCTCACATTCATTTATCACAGTGCACAGCTAATGCAAACGATGCAAGTTCACGAAACGTCGTTCCTAGTCTCTTGAAACCTCATTCTAGACTACATATTGTGACTGATGCAATGAAATGAAATGAAATTTCAATTTTACTCACCCAATTTCCATGTGATGCTATCCAATTCCATAGTCCACGTTGTCCATGTATAAATTCAGCTGTCCATATAATATAATCTGCTGCACAAGGTCTTCTAAATGACATTAAACCAACATCATTATTATTAATATTGGTAGTTTGTAATTTATCATTGGTCATTTTATGACTACATGATGAAGACGACTGGTCAGTAGAAGAAGAAGATAACTAAGAAAGAGAGAGACAGTGAAATAAAAAAAAGAATAGAGAAATCTCATGAAATTCATGCTGAAATTGATTAACAGATAGATAACTAACAGATAAAAATTATTTTTGGAATTGACATTTTATGACATAAAATGGATGGATGTTATTAAACACAGATATTTATCCGTCAGTCAGTCAGTTACAACGTAGAACTTCGTACGTACGTACGCACATCACTTCAAGTTGCTATACCGACAAGTGGACTTAGCCATGTCAGTGATAGTCGACTACCTGGTTGGGATCCACGAGATGATAGTAATCGATGGTTAGAGACCTTGAATGACATGGCTCAAAATCGTTCACAATGGCGCCGGTGCATTTATTCTTTGTGTTCTCTCAAATCTTAATCTTCTGGATTCTTCAACCCCCACCCCCTAGTTTTGACTTTCTAAACTTTTCTCACTGAATCACACATACTTCTTGAATAATATCTTTTAATCCTAACCTCTTCGATTACTTCTAATACCTTTTATTACCTCTTTTACTATTGGATTTGAATTGACAATTACATCTCTGTGTGCTAATGTGGTATGGCAACATGAACTGATGTACTTATGTACGAAGTTCTACGTTACATCTGAGGCACAAAGATGCAAGTCTCAATGCGAATCTCACAGTAGTAGAGAGAGTAGAAAATATTAGCAGTAATTGGAAAGATCAGCGTTCGAAGATATATTATATTCAACAAGAATCTATTGAAATAAATTTGAAAAGAGAAAGATAAAGGTTATAAGGAAATCGGATTGGAATTTGTTAGAACACAAAGAATGAGTGCACTTGAGTCATTGTAAACGGTTTTGAGACATGTCATTCAGGGTATCTAATAACCATCGTTTATTATCGTCTCGCCGACCCCAACCAGATAGTCGACACTCACCAACATGACTCAATCCAGTTGTCAGTGACTTCAAGGATGTGATATGTTTTGGTTTGACCGCCCTAGATTTACTCCAACTTCCTACTATATCGCAAAGTATAGCTCGACAAGGTAGTCGACGGTTGGGCATGCGTAACACATGTCCCAACCACCTCAACTGATGAAGTTCCACTACTTCATCTATTGGTCTTCCATCCTTACTGAGTACCCGTTTCCTACCATCATCATTGCTTAATCGATGCTCCCAGGATATACGAGCAATGCTTCGAAGACAACTATGATCGAACACCAGTAACTGACAAATATCCTCTATTCTTAGTGACCAGGTTTCATATCTTTATAGTAGGATTGAGCGAACTACTGCGCAGTACATTCGTCCTTCGGTCAACAAGCTCAACTGCTTCACTTCCTATCACGCTAATATTTATGGTATGAATAAGCAGCTTACACCGTGTTACAACCACTTGATGTTATAAAAATACCTAGTTAAAAAAATTTAAAGTATACTAATTTTACCTCCACTTTTGCTCATCATCCCCTTACTCGGACAGGCTTTCATGGCTGTGTCAGTTTTGTTTGCTTTTATGGTTGTTGCATCAATTTGGCCTAATATTCAGTTAACCTGTAGTCATTAGGACAGTGAAGCAGTGATCAGACGGCAAAATTAACTACACACACTTAATATTTTCATTATCAAAGAAGGTTGACAGCTGTATTGACTCACTGAAAACCTTAATGATTTAGTTGGCGTATATATACATTGAACCGGTTATATTTTGTACAGTCAGTCAGTTGCAACGTAGAACTTCGTACATATGTACATATGTTCATGTTGCCATACCACTACATTAGCACAGAGACGCAAATGTCAAATCAAATCCCATACTGAAAAAGATAGTAGAGGTATTAATGGTAATGAAGAAGACTAGGGTTTGAAGTTGTTATTCAAGAAGTATAATTCAGTGAAATAAGGTTAGAAAGACAAAGGTAGAGGTGCTGACGAATCCACAAGATTAGGATTTGAGAGAGCTCAAAGAATGGACGCACTTGCGCCATTGCAAACGATTCTGAGCCATGTCATTCAAGGTCTCTAACCATCGATTATTATCACCTCGCGGACCCCAACTAAGTAGCCTGCATCAACCATCTATTTTGTACAAGCATGGTTTGAAGGCTAATCAAAGGAAGGAAACTACGAAGCCATGTAGACAATGTGAGAAAAAGTGTGTGTGTGTGTGTGTGTGTAAGATTAGAAGACAATATGAAAAGTATTGTGTAACGATTGTTCTAGATAAATGTAAATTCAATATTATAATTTATTAAGGAAATAGACAATTTATATGCAAAACATAACATTGACAAATTATCTACCAAACGGAAAATGACCACATTGAAACTGTCCAGTTGAAATAAATAAAATCAAAGTAATAATAAATCATTCATTCATTCAATGATCAGCAACACATTGAACAGTTGTTAACTTTCAGAATAATACAAACAACTTCATTGTACGGAAAGGATGAAAAATATCGGGGCAGTGACCCCAATGTATTATTAATGTTTACTTTTTTTGTCGTTTGGTTTCGAATATAACCATGAGTCGTGGATGCGCACTGCTGAGGAGTTCCATACCAGGACGAAACGGCCGTCCAGTGCTTCTTCCAGGTTTCTAATGGTGGTCTAACAATGACTGATTGATGATTTCAAAAGTGTGTAACTTAACAATCTTCACAACCCCGTAATGCAAACTTACCTGTGCTCGCTAGTGACTAGCTTCGTGAGGAATCTTCTCCCATGAGTTCTAGTGGGAAGACGTGACCAGTGAAGTTCAACCTGTTCGAGTGTAGGCAGTGTCTACCGAAGACTGTGTATGAGGTTGCGCAACTCCGTGAATTTGATCAAGTTAGACATTAACACCGTTAGATACCGGCTCAGTGATCTAACGGTTAGGGCGTTCGCGCACAATACCGAAGGTCCTGGGTTCGAATCCTGCGCCGTGCAGGAGTCGTGGATGCGCACTGCTGAGGAGTCCCATATCAGGACGAAACGGCCGTCCAGTGCTTCCAGGTTTCTAATGGTGGTCTAACATTGATCGATTCATAGTTTCAAAAAATGTGTAAATATATAATTGTTAGCCTTTTTTCATAAGTCGATGATGTTTCATTCTGCCGACTTATTATTACTAGAAGACTTCAAGCATATCGTAGATATGATGATGATGACGAAGTGTTAAGCTGTAATTTGTGTGTAAGGGGCTAGTGATACTCTTCAGTTGGCCAAATAGACGTATATGAACTATGGTTCAACTGGACGATTAATTAATTGAAGGTTGGATGCTCTAACACAACTAAGTTTCTGTTTTACTAACGGTATTGTTGTAAAAGTAGCCTAGGTGGAGTAAACGAACCTATATCTCATTGTTATCAACAAACTGATATATAAGACTTGAAGTTGAAGTAAATTTTTCAGAAAATGACTATTCAATTTTTTTAAAATTAAAATCATGAGTTAGACCATCACCATTAGAAATCTGAAAGTACTGAACGGCCATTTCTTCCTTGTATGGCAATGCACGCAAACATGACTCCCGCTCGCTGGAATCCGACCCAAGATTTTCGATTTCAAGCGTGAACGCCTAACCTCTAGACCACTGAGCCATCATCCAGCTGGATTATTGTCTAACTCCAATCAATCCCTGTGTTAGTGGGACATAGATGGAATTAAAGCATGACTACGTTTCTGCGCGCTTGTTGGCTAATTTCCTATCCAACCAGCGCCTGAACAGGGTAGAAAATTCTCGTACTGTTAGCTGCACTCTGATTGGCTAAATCTAATCCAGTCGATCACGTGAATTTCTATCCAGAAGCTTCTCATGTAAATACCATAAAGAAACTAACGTTATATCTATTTTTACCTTCGGCTTCTTATTTCCATTTAACCTTACTATTTGGAATATAATCTTTACCTGTTCCACCGTGTTTTTGATTCTTTGGAACTTGTCCAGTGTATTGTGATCAGAGAATACTAAGCAATAGGATTTAGCTGGGAATCATTTAGGCATGCGTTACAACACCCTGACATTGCACAACCTCACCTATTGCCTTCGGTATTTACTGCCTACACGTGCGATAAGGTTGAACTCCATTAGTCAAGTCTTCTCACTAAAACTCCGAGTCATGGATGCGCACTACTGACGAAACCCATACAATAACGAAACGGCCATCCAGTGCTTCCAGGCTTCTAATAGTGACCTATTAATAATCGATTCATGATTACAATCAAAACATAAATTTAAATCTAGAAAAAAAAAACTTACTTGTGTATTATAATCCGATGTAACAGCAGCACTACTACTATGCTCCGCTGGTTCATGAGAAATATTCGATGAATCCATTGATTTGGAAATATCATGATGTTTTTGTGTAGTTGTAGTTGTTGAATCATTATTCATACATTTATTATTATTATTACTATTATTCACTTCAATCACTTCACATAATGCACGTAAAAATGCCAACATTGCTATGATACGACCCCAATTAATACGATCAATAAATAATTCTTGCAAAACACTATGAAATTGACATCGTATCATTTCTAATCGTGTTTCATCAAGTGAAGTAGTATCATCACTGAAATAACTACTACCAGTACCGCCGTCAGCAGCATCACCATCACCATCACCAATGATGATGTTGGTGTTATTACTACTACTCTTGACATTGGTGTTATGATTACTATCATCATGATGCGTATCGTCGGTTGTTGTTTTAATTGACTCTTCTGTTTGACCTTGTTGATCATCTAAATTACATTTTTGATTATTATTATTTAAACGGGCTACGTCTTCTAATAAACTGCCTAATTTATCATGATATCTCGACTCGAAATGATCAGCAAGATTTCTAGCGCATAAAATTAATCTTGCAGATAAAAATGTCGATGGAACTGCTACTACTACTGATTGATGAAGTTGATGATGTGAAACAGAAGAACTGGATGATGGTGATGATGATGTGGTTGTTGTTGTTGTGTTCATATGTGTAGCTGGAATTTCATTTGGCGACTGAAACAAACAAACAAACCAAAATGTTAATAGGAATTTTATGAAAAATGTCAATTTTGAATGCTAAGCAATAATTTTGTGTGCTTTTTATGAAATGAACGATTGAGTTTTTTCCAACACACAGAGAAAATGTTGGATTGTAAAAATGAGACTGGTGGAGAAAACTTGTAGCTCAGGTGGATGGATAATTGTGGTGGTGTTTCGTTCTCTGAGCTGGTTGTTTTGGTTGTGGAGCTTTCATTGTTCTTCTTCTGCTGAACAACATCATCAGCATAAACTTCAAAAAAATCATAGGTGACACATGATCAAGAAACAGATCAAAAGGGGGGCGGTGCAATCAAAACAAAGTTGCAAACAACGACAGGTCAAAAGTCAACAGCAACCAATCAAGATCGAGGTTAGCAGAACAAGCTACAGGTCAAACGTGGAGAAATTCCAATGCTTCACTTCTATCTGAAGTTTGTGCTGATGATGATGTTGTTCAGTGGAAGAACACTGAAAGCTCCACAACCAAAACAACCAGCTCAGAGAACTAAACACCACCACAAAAATGAGACTGTCTTTTGATTTGAGAGGAAAACTATGGAATACTTTTTTTAAGGTTATTGACAGTTGAAAGGCATATTAGATAAATCGCGGCAGTCGAGGATTCAAGAAAAGAAAAGTCATGAAGAATTCAGAATGGATACATTTGCGGCACTGCAAACCAGTTTGAGTCAGGATATCCAAAGTCTCTAACCACAAGTTAGCATTTCCATGCAAACCTGAACCCACTAGCCTACACATGTTAACATGACTCAATCCAGTTGTCAATGACCTGATGGACTGATGCCATGTCTTTGTTTGGATGCCGCTTTCTTCCAGCATACCATTACGCTCGCCAAGGTAGTTGGTGATTGGACATACGTAACACAGGCCCCAACCAATTTGCTTATCATCCTCATCTAGTACCCCTATTAGTAACACAAAGCAGCAGTGATTAACCAGTGATGCATGCTGAATTTCTCATAATTTCTATCTTTCTCCTCCTAAATTTATTTCACTGAATTATACTTTTTGAATCATATCTTCGCTCCCTGATCCTATTGCTGCTAATAATTCTACTATCGCTATCACTCTCGGATTTGAACTGACAGTTACGTCTCTGTGCTGACGTGGTATGCCAACGTGAACTGATGTACTTATGTACGAAGTTCTGCGTTGTATATATCTGTCTATCTATCCGAAAATGCATGAGCAATGCTTGGAAAATATCTTTTTTTAATATCCATGTCTCACATCAATACACCTGGGGAGAATCACATCCCGAACATTCTTGCATTGTTGCTCGATGAAGTCAGAACACTCTGCATTTCGTCAATCTTGAGTAGACAGAAAGATGTCATCTGCATTTTCCAATTCAACCTCCTGGAAAAAGTTCAACCCCATGAAAAATAAAACGACGAAAGCACTTCGATGACATCGTTAAATGGGAACGGAGAAAGTAGACAACCCTGACGAACATCACTTGAAGTAGTCGATTCGGATGACAGTTAGCCATAAGTTCGTACTCCACCTGTAGTGTTCGAGTAGAGAGCATGTATACTTCTTTGGGTAGGCACTGCCACAGAACCTTATGATCAACGGAGTCAAACGCCGCCACAAGGTCAAGGAATACAATCATGATCGGACTTCGAAGTGTATGTCTGTGTTCTAGGACCTGACCAAGTGTGAATATTTCGTCCAGATTCAACCAGTCCAACAAATACGATGATAAGATAAAGGAAAACACTAAAGTGAATCACATCGTTTCCGATAATGAATCAGTATTCATACAATAGACAGACAAACAGATACAACGCAGAACTTTATACGTAAGTACATCAGTTCAGGTCGCCATTCCCCATCAGCACAGAAACGTGACTGTCAGTTCAAATCCAAGAGTGATAGCATTAATAGAAGTATTAGCGGTGATGGAGAAGATTCGGGAGCAAAGATATGATTCAAAAAGTATAATTCAGTAAGATAAATTTAGAAGGAGAAAGATGGAGATTATGAGGAATGAAGAAGCTTAGAATTTCATAGAACACAAGAGTGGATGCACATGCGCCATTGCAAATGATTCTGAGCCATGTCGTTCAAGGTCTTTAACCATTGGTGACTTTCGTCTCGCGGACCCCACCACGTAGCCCAAGTCTACCAACATGACTCAGTTCACTTGTCAGTGACTTCATGGATTTCTGTCATGCTTTGGTCTGGCCGCCCCTAGCTTTCTTCCAATCTACTCCTACATTGCAAAACATAGCTCGTCGCGGCAGTCGGCGGTTAGCCATACGTAACACATGTCCCAACTACCTCAACTGATGAAGTTTCAATGCTTCATCTATTGATTTGCCATCCCTAACTAGAACTCGTTTCCCAACGGCAGCATTGCTTGTGCACGAGCAATGCTTCGAAGACCAGTAAACTACGGCAGTCCTCTACTCTTAACGGCCAAGTCTCGCATCCGTACAGTAGGACAGAGCGAACTACTGCACAGTACACTCGTCCTTTAGTCAGCAAACGGATATCTCGTCTACGCCATAGGTGACGCAGGTTGGCAAAAGCCAATCGACACTTCTGTATCCGAGCTGAGATTTCGTCAGTCACCAGGCAATCAGCACTGATGAGACTCCCAAGATAAGTGAAGCGATCAACACGCTCGACTACTTCACTCCCTATCACTAGTTCAGGTGCCGATGCAACCCAGTCTTGAAGCAACATTTTGCATTTCGAGGGTGAGAACCGCACCCCGAACATGCTTACATTGTTGCTCAACTTGGTCAGAAGACTCTGCATTTTGTCAGCGTCTTCGCCAAGTAGGACTATGTCATCGGCATATTCTAAGTCAATAAGCGAGCCACCTGATAGAAGGTCTACTCCTGAAAATTCAGACGAGGATAAGGTTATCTCTAAGAGCATGTTGATGATAAATTATACAAGAATGGAAATAGTGGACATCCCTGGCGGACATCACTTGAAGTAAAGAATTCCGATGACAGTTCGCCATAAGCTCTCAGTCGAGCAGTGGTGTTCGAGTAGAGAGCTTGTATAAGGTTAATGTACTTCTCTGGTACACCTTTCAATGACAGACACATACAATGGATTTGGTCAGTCAGTACAAATCACAATGTAAACATGATAAAGAATGTTATAGACACTTTAGGGGACCTAATTAAATCTAAATAATGGACATGATAGGTGACATTTTATATAGAATATAAAATGAAGTCAATATTGTGGTGGTGTTTGGTTCTCTGTTCTCTGAGCTTAGAGAACCAAACACCATCACAATCATCCACCTGAGCTACAAATGTTCTCCACCATCTCGAAGTCAATATCGTCTATTTTAACTAACAAAAAAATTTGATTCTCTGTTAAATTTTATATAATCATAACTGCCTAGTTTGTGTAATAATCCATTGGGCTACTACTCTACATGTTATTATCACTAACTGTTTACAATATCGAAGCCAGTGATGATTCTGTTGTCGATATTTATTCACTCACTCAAAGGGCTAGTGATAAACTATGACTCATGAAGTTAGTTATTATAAAATGACGGCGGTGCATTTCCTTGATTAAATTAAAAATGAAAATGATGCAGTTCTAAGAAAACACGTTGAATACACAGAAAAATATCTCAATAAACAACTTTATGACATGCTTATTTAAAAACAAGAACTCAGGAAATGTTGAACAAGTTTTGGAATTTTAAAAAAGACACCATAGTACATGAACAACCGCATATATGTATATATATATATATATATATATATATATATATATATATATATTCGAAACTATGAATCGATCAATGTTAGACCACCATTAGAAACCTGGAAGAAGCACTGGACGGCCGTTTCGTCCTGGTATGGGACTCCTCAGCAGTGCGCATCCACGACTCCTGCACCCCGCAGGACTCGAACCTAGGACCTTCGGTATTGTGCGCGAACGCCCTAACTATCGGACCACTGAGCCGGTATCTAACGGTGTTAATGTCTAACTTGATCAAATTCACGGAGTTGCGCGACCTCACATAGTCTTCGGTAGTTACTATCTACACCCGAACAGGTTGAACTTCACTGGTCACGTCTTCCCACTAGAACTCATGGGAGAAGATTCCTCACGAAGCTAGTCACTAGTGAGCACAGGTAATTTGCATTACGGGGTTGTTGTGAAGATTGTTAAGTTACACATTTTTTTGAAACCATGTATCGATCAATGTTAGACCACCGTTGGGTACCGGCTCAGTGGTCTAACGGTTAGGGCGTTCGCGCACAATACCGAAGGTCCTGGGTTCGAATCCTGCGGGGTGCAGGGTTCGTGGATGCGCACTGCCGAAGAGTCCCATACCAGGACGAAACGGCCGTCCAGTGCTTCCAGGTTTCTAATGGTGGTCTAACATTGATCGATACATGGTTTCAAAAAATATATATATATATATATTAATGTTTATGTGAAGTTTAGTCTCTGAACAAATTTGAAATTATCAATAATAATGAAAACAAGTTTAGTTTAGTTTAAACGCACTTAGTAAAGAATATTATAATTATATATACATACATATATCGAACAAACAATTCTTGGCAAGAAAGAGTACATTTTTATCCTTAAGCAAAAAAATATACATAAATCATCCAATCATATGACCGCCTCCCCCCCATCCGCACGTGATAATGAAACAGGATTGAAAAATTCGATATTGAAAATAGAGAAAAAGAGAACCAATTGGAGGATAATAAAAGCAGTAACACCACCACCGCCAACAACAACAACTTCATAATATGCTGAGTTTCTTTTGTAGTTTTACTAGGAGGTCTAAAAGTGTTGTTGATTGTTTGAAATGATGAAGTTTGAGAATCAAGAGGTGCTCATTACACAACAGATGTTACACATTGTAGTATATATACCTAAGGGCGGCGGACAAATCAAAACATGGCACAAATTCATAAAGTCATTGACAACTGGACTAAGTCATG